CCCACATCCACACCATTGTCCTTCAAAAATCTGATAAAAACAAAGTATTCCACTTAGGTAAACTTGAAGATTATCGCAAAAAATCAGAAGAATATATGAATAAAACAAAGGCCTACAAATGTTTAGGTACTGAAGATCCATTACCTGATCTGATTCGTCGTACCACTAAATATCTATTAGATTTACGACTAGCCAAGTGGATTACCCAAAAACAATATGAAAAATTATGTATTAATCCAAATGAAGTTGAACTGGCTCATTTATATTATTTACCTAAGGCACATAAGCCTGGTACTCCTCTTCGTCCAATTATATCTGGTCTTAAACATCCTACAATTAAAATGTCAAAATTTCTCGACGAATTACTTAGACCTTTATTTGATAAAATGGCTTCAAATACAACTGTAACTTCTGGCTTTGAACTAGTAAAACAGTTACAAGAATGGTCGAGAAATAATATGTGTCAAGAAACTTTATTTTGTACAATTGATGTTGCAGACCTTCATACAATGGTTCCACAGACAGAAGGAGTACTGTCATTAAAGAAAATGTTAGACCATTTAAAATTAAAACAAGTTGATGGTGTCAAAATTGAAACAATACTTAGATTAAGTCGATTTGTTATGCAAAATAATTATTTTTCTTATAATGGCCAATTCTATCATCAAACTCGTGGAGGAGCAATGGTTCTCCTCTTACTCTAACTGTTGCTAATTGTTATATGTTCTTTTATGAAAGGCAAATAGTTAAACAAATTAGCAATAGTGGTGGATTATATTTTCGATATATTGATGATATATTCTTAACAATAAATTGGCCTGCTCGACATTTATTGAAACAAATCAACAGATGGAATCATTTTGATGAAAATATCAAATTATCAGAAAATATAGGTTCAACAGCTGATTTTCTTGATTTACATGTAGAAAATCGGAATGGTCAATTAGTTACTACATTTTATCAAAAGCCATCCTATGAACCATATTATTTACCGTTCAATAGCATTCATCCACTGCACATGAAAAAGAATATAATATTTACTATGTCACTTCGTACTATTAGGTATTGTTCAACATTCCAAGATTATTTGAATGAACGGGAAAAATTAAGAATGGCACTTTTATTAAATAAATATCCGAATAAATTTATAGATGAACAATTTAATAATATATTGTCGAAATTGGATATTATTCAACCATTAACTGATAATAATTATACTGAGTATCGTCAAAGAGTTATAGATTCCCCAATAAAAGAAAAAGTACCAGTTGATTATGGAAAGACAATATTCGTACACTTTACATATTGTTCAAGTATGAGAATATTTCCAAGAAAATTTCATACTCTTTGGAATAAATATTTTTGCGAATCTCCAATCAATGAAGTCTTACCTGTTCTTGGTACACGTAATGTTAAGAATCTACAACGACAATTGATTTATACGAAATAAACTATATAATATTTCGTATACCCCTCATGTTGTATTATATAATCCAATATGCGATAGACATTTTTGATCTAACACATATAATTTCATATTTTTATATTTCATGTGCCCATCTATTTGTTTCAATTTGATACACTTGATTTAGGTATACGCTTTACATATGCTTATTTATTTATTTAATTATTTATTTCGAATTGGTACATGTGGTCTATATTATTTATTTTTGGTATATGTGACTATGTCATGTATATATATTTTTTTTTTCGATTCAAGACAGATAAGTGGTATTAATATTATTCTGGGATTATTTTAATTGAAAATTTAAAAATGAATAAATTACTATTATATTTACACGTTTAAAACTGATATGCGATTTTTGCCTTAAATTGATAAAAATTTTGCTACCGACGAAAATGTTAACTGGCAGTAGAATTCTAATTAAAAATTTCACAAATAAATAACAAATAAGTAATATTATTTTTATTTAAATTGAATTTATATATTATCCATTTTGTCAATACCTTCAAAGACAAATAAGTGATATTAATATTATTCAGCTTATGCCTTAAATTGTCCATTGCTATTCTCATCGCATGGGAGACGACCGGAATTAATTCATTCCGTCGTCCACACCACCTATTTATATTTGAACATATCTCATTAATTATAAATTGGTTTTACGTTCGTCAACTAGACGTCGAGCTATTCAATATACTAGAAACTGATCTTATATTCGAGTATCCGTCAACTAGACGTCGAGTTATTCAATATTATATCTCCAGAGACAAATAAGTGACATTAACCTTTATAGTGTTACTATTTAAATAAGAGTTACAACATATTAAAAACGAATATTATTCATCTATATCCTCAGAGACAAATAAGCGATATTATTTTATCATTCCTCTTTTGATTGTTTCCTGTTGTAATTTCTATTTTTATTTCCATTATTAATTTGAATTTCATTTTTGCTTCGTATTTTCATTTTTGCTACTTCTTGTAATTTGAATTTCATTTTTGTTTTTTCTTGTAGGCGAAAATAATCTGCATTTCTTTTAAATTAATTTTCATTCAAGCATATTTATATTTATTCAATTTTAATTTGATTTTCGACAGGAAATCAATTGCTGAAAAGCAAGAGTTGAGACTAGCAGATTGATTTGTATTTATAGAAATATAAGTCGATCTGTTTTCCAATTGGAATCTTCTTAGGTTTCACAGTAACAGTATAAATTTAGTACTTAGGATTTCACTTTGAAATTCTTTAGTGCTATTGCCATCTGAATGAGATCCTTAAGCAAGATCGAAACACGTGTCATGGCAGCTTGTCACCCACACCCCACACCCTCTTATAAATGCTTGGCCAAGATAGAAAGTCGATAGAACTTATAAGTTTCATCAAGCTCTTCATGATCTAGACATGTAAGAACGAGGGATCCCTCACTGCTGATCAATTTTTTAATATCAGTATTTCATATCTGCCGAGAGCGAGAGCAGCTGGGCCGGGACTTAAAATACGTACAAGAGCCACAACCAGGACTGGGACGAAAAAATATGATTTTATGCATGTTTACCTCTTACTGATTAGGTTTTCTTACATGTTTTGAAGCGCAATAGGAGTTTTGCTTACATACATTAAGATTGAACTTTCTCGGGCAACGCCGGGTACTTCCGCTAGTACAAAGTAAAAATAAACTTCATGATTACCACAGTTTCTGAGGAGTACATGGTCTGATTATGGTTCTCTATTGTGGCGGATTTCGACCGTCGTATTGTTCAAGAGTTTATAAGAGATTGAGAGGAGTTGATTGTGAATATGATATTGGTCTTTGTGTTCTATCACTTGGATGGCCGCAAGGATATCATCAAAATGGAGAAAAGCAAATCTGATATTAACGAAAACAAACAGATAGAATGCTGTGAGTAACACTGCTAGCCATTTCATACCCTAGTTTGACTCGGTTGCCTGCGATTTTACCCGGTCGATAATCGATAGAAGTTGCTTGAGGAAAGAGCTCTTTCAGCTGGTCACGGCTGACCGAACCAGGAATTTTGCCAACATGAAGATCACACGCACTGTATGAACCTATAATATTGGAAGAAACAATGAACTATTTACTCGGCTCATTCTAAGCTAAACCCCTCCCCGTATTAGAAGACCCCGGGTCTTCTATTATGTCT